TTGTCACTATGAAAAAATTGGGTTTTTATGACTTTCCAAAAAAAAAAAAAAAAAAAAAAAAAAAAAAAACCCGAAATTGCGCGTTTAGGTACTCCTAGAGGAGTTTGCGCTCACATCAGATATGCACTCCAAGCAGAGGCAGTTGCACTCCAAGCAGATGCAGTTGCACCCGTTTCTATACATCAGATATGCTCGAAGCGAGGGCTTCGCCAGAGGCAATGCTCAGGGCATACTCACACTACCTGTAGGACCTTTTACTCAACGCTGTGGACTTAATTGCGGTTAGGTTCGTGCAGGTCTGGCCGCAATTACGACTTGTCCCGGATGCACCTGATCGCACAATCAGCCACGCCTGGAGGTATCTGACCTTAATTACGTCCAGGAAACCGGCGGGGAAAAGTCCTACTGCGAGTACGCCCTGAGCCAAGCTGACACTGAGGCCAGCCTAACCCGTGTGAGCAAGCAAGTGCTACCGGTAGTAGCTCAGGCTAAACCAAGTGTAAGCCCGGGGCTAGGTCCCACTAGCAGCCTTGAGTTTCCTCAACGCCTGAATCTGGACGCGTTCGTGGAGATGTGCGGTTGAGAAAACTCAACGCGATTTCTGCACGTACCCACTGACACCGGCGCTTGTGTGCTTCGGCATCTCCCCACCCTTCGGCATCTGCTTCGGCATCTGCGGGCATACTCACACTACTGTAGATCGGACGTTTTGCTTTTTTTTTCTTGAGGTAATCTCGGTCAGATAGATACAGGTCTGGCCTTCGATGCGTCCAGATACGTGCAAGATAGTCCTCGTGTGAGCTCATCCTACTTCGGCATTGCGGCGCGCAGTACGTACGTGAACTCGCCGCGCGGCGAGCTCGACGGCCATCATTATGGAGAAAGGCGCGGAGCTGAAAGGCCAAGGTGTGCAGATTCTATTGGCAGCAGAGCAACAGGCTCAGCAGCTCATCGAGAAGGCGAGAGCGGGTAGGTACTTGTCGTCTATTCCACCGCCAACCCCGCTAATGAGCTGAACGGTACCTACCAAACAGTTTGTGCGTCCGTCAGCGGGACAAGATCTCAGGATGGACGCAGCACATCCAGGGGCTACCGGTAGGTCCCACTTGCACGAAGTAAGAGATACTGACCGTTGATCACGTAGATTGCAAAGATCAACGGCCGAAATCTCCTAATTTGCGCAAGTGGGACCTGGCCTCAGGTCGCAAAGTTGTCCTTCTAGAGAAGACGTTCTCAAAAAGAAGAAGAAGAAGAAGAAGAAGAAGAAGAAGAAGAAGACGTTCTCCATTTGTGCGTTAATTTGAAGTATAGTATATAGGCGGCGATGAAAAACACGTGGACATATCTGTGTCAGCCACGAGCAGCAACCGCGTCTTCGACAAGTAGTCCCAATGCTCTGCAGCCAGAGCATACTTCTTGTGTCTCTGCGCCTGCGGAACTACCGTCTTGACTTCAGCCGGGGCTATGTAGGTCCCACTTGCACGAATTAAGAGATAGAGACCGTAGATAACCGAGAGAGATCAACGGCCGAAATCTCCGAATGCGTACAAGTGGGACCTTGCCCCCGAATAGAACGCCCAACTTGCAGTCCAGATGCAGCGATAATGACCGGGCGTTCTATTCGGGTGAAGAGCGTAGCTGTCTGCCGAAATGGGCCCTTGTCAACAGGGGGGGCCACAGGGAGCACAGGGAGAAGAGGGGGTGGCTGTAATTACATCTTCGCCTCGAAGGATCCTCCCCGTCCTCTCTCTCTTCTCGTAGGGAATCGCCGGCATTCGGTTGCAGTTACTGGCCTAGAACCTCCTCCTCCTCCTCCTCCTCCTCCTCCTCCTCCTCCTCCTTCCCGGCCCCTTTCCATTGGCATGCTTGGGCGGACTCCCTCCTCCCGCACCGGCATCTTGGTCTTGCCCTTGCTGTTGGAATCCCCGTTACTATGAGCGAGTTTCCGCGGACTCCCTCCTGCCATCACCACCACCTGTGGGACGATCCTTAATATCATCATGTGGTGCAGCAGCTCAGGGGACAACTGCGACGGGCAAGCACTACTTTTGTCCGCGTCTTTCTCTTCCAAACCCCGACTGCTCACGCCGACTGCTCACGCTTGGCTACAGGCTAGATCTTCAGATGCCACTTCCTGGACCAGAGGTCTTCTTCGCCTAACAACAGTTATGACATGGACCTATGACCGACTGCTGACTTCAGACTCTTGGGGGGGGGAGGGGGGGGGGGGGGGGGAAGACAAATTTTTTTGGGGGGGACCCGCAGCTGGGTGGGTGCATTCGGCTGCTGGCATGGAGGAGGCGGCGGTGAAACAGGGGACGGGGGGGGTGCAGTTGAGCGGCGAGCCCGGTCGTCGTTCACGCTTCCGGTTTCCTATCTGATTTGGAATGGATGGGTTCTGTAGGGACTCTCCCATGCCTCATCGGGACACTCGGCCTGCCCCTGCTGGTAAGGGGGGGGGGTTGAAATATGGGAGCCTTGGGACCTTGCCCCCCCTCTCCATGTCCTTGGCAAAGACAAACGGGTTACGTGGTGTTTGCTGTCTCATCAGAGCTTCATTGAAGTCTCCCATCTTTTCGATTGGCACTGCATGCCTTGCTTCTTCTTCTTCATGCTGCTGCAGCCAGCTGTGCTGCGAGCGCACCTATACCAACCACCCCTTGCGCCTCGCCTACTGCTGTCGCCATCTCCTCGCTTGCTGTGCTTCGCATCCAATGCCATGCCCTTGGCCACTAGTACTGGCAGGAACAGCGACTGTTTTTCAACACTTGGTCTCTCGCGGGATGTCAAAGGCACCGATAGACCGCGCCCGGCGCGGTAGCGCAGCCAAGGGGCGGAAGGGTGACGCGTAAGGAGCGAGGAGGCATTTCGTGGGGGAAGGTAAGGCACAGAAGTTGCATTCAGGAGGTCGTGGGGTGCAATCTCCAATGACCTCACGTACGTGCCTGGGGAAGCTTGGTGTTCTACACGCTAGAGATAACCCGTTGGCCCCCCAAGCCAGCGTTGGCATTGTTGGTTGCTTTGCAGCGGGCCTACCTCAGTTGGTAAGGCACATATTTTTTTTTTTAAAAAAAAAAAAAAAAAAAAAAAAGGCTAATTCTTTAAGCCCAACCAATTCAATTACCTGTCAAATCTGGACAGGACGGCCTTTTCAGGCCTTTTTTTTTTTTTTGTCATTATAGTATTACGGGGAACCCGGTAGCAGCCACATCCGTGCTCAAGCCTCCAACGAGGGAACATGCGGGAGCTGCACCCACCAGCAGGTGCGATACCTGCTACAGCAGGTGGGCGATACCGGCCAGGGGTCAGCCGGTAGCATCAGGACCGAGCTTCTTCGATGGGCCAGTCACTGTGCCTCCCCTCCGGTCCCCTCCACCTATGAACATCAGCAGTCTCTGCTCAATGCCACTCGGGGGGACCAACGGCATATCTCTAGGTGGCGGGCGCCAAGCTTGCCCAGGAAGGTACATGAGGCCAATGGGGATTGAACCCAAGACCTCCTGAATGCCACTTGCATGCCTTACCAACTGAGCTAGGCCGCTGGATGCTTAGGGCACAGAAGTTGCATTCACGACGTCGTGGGTTCAATATGAAAAAAAAAAAAAAACCAGCCGTGGAGAATGGAATTTTGGCAGGTCGACAACAAAAGCGCAGGGAGGTTTTTGCAGGCTTTTTGCAGCCATCTCCGCGAGATCTGTTTTTTTCTGAAGGGTGCGTGCGAGGGAAGGTTTCTGCTTGCTGGTGCAAGGGAGCGAGGGGGCAAAACATCTTATCGCGAAGATGCCTCGTTCTTCGAAGGGAAGATCAGGTGGAATGATGAGGCGGCCTGCACCTCCCCCAGCTCCTCGTCCAGTGGCACAGGCTCCCGCGCCTGCTGTCCCCCAAAGGGATGGAGGAGGCTCGCTTCTCGGCGGCATTGGCTCAACAATTGCCCAAGGAATGGCGTTTGGAACTGGGAGTGCTGTGGCGCACAGAGCAGTTGATGCTGTGATGGGTCCAAGAGGCGGTGGTGCAGCACCTGCGGCTGCTGCTCCGGAGCCTCTTGCAGCTTCATCCCCTTTCAGGGGTCAGACAGTTGATGCTTGTGCTAATCAGGCGAAGGCATTTCAAGATTGTCTGGAGCATAATAATTCTGACATTGGGAAATGCCAGTTCTATATTGATATGCTCACTTCCTGCAGACGCAATGGGACCATGTTGCAGTCTTAATGAGGTATCAACAGTCTATGGGGTTACCAAGACCGGAATGGCTATAAGATGTGGGAGCTCTGATCTGTTATTGTTGAAGAACTTCTGTCTGGCATCTTTTCGAACGCCTGCTGTTGTATCGGAAAGCCTACGCACTCCGTTTTCTGAAGACCTGTGCTTCCCTGTTAGCTTTGGTGATATTGAACTGCGGAGACTCTGGAGAGGAGGGGCGTGACATCTGGAGATGGACGCGTTTGTGGATTTTAGTGTGATGTTGAAGCCTTCCGGTGACGGGATACCCCCCATGACGGAGGACGCTTTGCATGGGGATGAAGGGCCTCATGCAAAACGAGAGTGAATCTTCCGCTAGAATATGGAAAGATACACGGCCATGATTTTTGTCTTTTGTGCAGTTCAAGAGTAGTGCAGCGAGGCCCTAAGTGGGTGAAAAGGCAACAAACTACTTCATGTTTCATGTATTGTTTTCAAGTTTGTAAAAATATTGTCGACTTCGCAAAAAAAAAAAAAAAAAGGCGCAGGGAGGCTGTCGAAGGCCTATCGCCCACCGACCTGGCTGCACCCCCACGCCCCGTGTGGTATCATTTTTTTTATTATTATTATTTTTTTATTTTATTTTATTTTATTTTTTTATTTTTTTTTCTCCGTGGTATCAGTTCAACTTATTTGAAAACGAAAAGAGTGCATCTGCCCATGAAAGGTGGAAAAGTACACTCGTTACTATTTACAGCAAACCCATGAACCTGGCCATTTTCTGCAGGAAGATGCACTCGTTTCGTTTTTCGTTTCGTGTGCAGTGCGGCGAAGCCCTTGGTTGCCTTCTGGAGCAGGTGCATTCCCAAGTTCCCAGCAACACCCTTCTGCGAAAGGACAAAAAGGGTGGTATAATGTGAGTGAGAGGTTTCGCCGGCGCGTCCCCACCGGCGCTACGGCGTGTCAGTCCGCACGCGACTTTTCTCGGTAACGACGAAGTCTGGGCAACCTGTAGCTCCACCGCCATGATGGCGCTCTGGTCTCTGCCCCCGATCCCGCTCGCCATGTTCGAGCGGCCCGCCTCACGACCTGGTAGGTGAGACAGTCGGTGTCAGTCGGTCTAGCTGGTAAGAAACCTCCATACTTCTCCTCGCTCCCTATTGCGTGGCTCTTCTCCTCGGTTGAAATGTGCTTGTTAGCACGCTGTTGATAGTTGTGTCCTTCTCGTGCGGTACCTCCGATTATCGTATTCTCGAATGTTCAGTGACGTGTCGGATTCTTTGTTATGATCGTGTTGGTGGAGATATGTAAGGTTAGACTACCATCCTTCCTCTGAGTAACGTCTCTGGGTCGGTTCAGTCACTCTTGTAGCAATTGCATTATTGCTCTATTCTCTCCTTCTGCCATCAAGTTTTGCAGGATGGAAGTGGAGAACAACGCTGTTCCAAATGGGCCAAACGACCGTGGCCCTCGGTCTCCTCCGCCTGACCCTGGTCTGGACGGAGAAGACCTGAGCCATGCTCGTGAACTTATTCGCCTTTGTTATGAAGAAGGCATTTGTCCTCCCGATATTGACCCAGGGGAAATGGAGATTGATGGTAGAGAAGTCCGATTTAGGGTCAAAGCGTCGATCGACCGAATCAAAATTGACTGGTTGAAAGAACGCGTGGTTACCATTATATTCCGGGAAGGGGCTCGTTTCCTTCCTAGAAAGGTTAAGGATGACATCGTTAGGGCTTACGAAGATGTCAAGCTTCAGGAAGGAATCTTTGATGCAGAATCCTTCAGTCGGGGCATAATCAAAATTGAAAGCCCTTATGTTGTCTCTTATGTGGCGAAGAGTCGAGCAATTGCATCTTGGTTGGTCACGAAAGGCCACGATTCGCTCACCATCGGTCAAATCGAGTACAGACTAGAATTCAAACCGTGGCTCTCCAAAGCCCAATTAAGGGAACAGAGGAGGGAAGAGGAGCAAGCCTCGTTTTGGATAGTTGCGGTTCAGGTCCCTCTCGATTCGTTTATCTATTTGGAGGCGCAGATCCGTAAGGCAATTGGGCCTGTTGTCCGTACTCATCCGATAGACGTCGATCGACAAAAGTCATCCCTAATCAATGTTAAATTTGACCTGGATCCAGTATCCAGGGTCAACATGAAGGACAAGATTACTGTAATTACTGCAGAGGAAGATGAACTAGTGGTGAACTTAGCCTGTTCGGACACCCCACGCTGTCGCAGATGCAGAGCCTTCTTTCATGAAGAAGCCCAGTGCAGACGAGCAGCTCATCCACCACAAGGCCAACCATCACAGAATGCTCCAGCTCAAGTCCCAACGTACTCTCAAGCAGCGACGTCTACTCCGCAATATCAAGGACCGATGGTTCCAGGTGCTTCACAGAATCTGCATGGTGCGCCGTCAACAGGTCAACAGCTAGGGTATCAACCTTACCAGAACATGATGCTCAATCCTACCTTCTCGCCTGACAATTTTCCACAAGGTGGGGCTATGCCTACACTTCAAGCACAAAGCGTTCCCTGGCTCACACAGATGTATGCCCCGTGGTTCCAACATCTTCAACAAGGTGTTTTTCCCCCCAACTTGGGGGGCCTGGCGGCAGGGCCTTCAAGTTTTTTTATGCCTCAAGGGAACCCGTTTGGTGGTCAACTCCCAGGGCCCTCCTAGGGTCAGGTGGATCCTAACATGGGGGGAGCGTCAGGCACCCCCCGGTCAAATGGTCAGCAAGAAGGGCGAGTGGATGGCGGCACAAGAGCGGCAGATGAAGCAACAAGTGCGGCTGGTGTTGGAGATCTCCAACAATCGCGGTCGAGGCTTCCCTCAATGGGAAAACAACGAGGATTAAGCTACGACTCGGTCTCAGGTATTAACGGTGAGAAATCTGACTCGTCCCTTCCTCCTTCCGAGGGCTCTCAGGGCCAATTCGTGGATGTGGGAACGCCAGGGTGTAAAACCACACGGAGGAGGACGCCTGTCGCCTTGGCGCATGGCCAGCTCCAGTCCGTAGACAGGCGAGTATTACCCCTCTTTTGTACGATCGTACGCAACAACACCTGGGTTATCGCCTGGTCTACAGCAAGTGGTTCGACTTCCTTTGTGAGTACCCCTTGTCCTGAGCAACCCATGCCCTCAGTCATGGTTTCTCTATTACGACCAGTAATTAACGACAGATTTGCTTTTCGCTTGATTCCTGACCTATCGATGCCTCGGATTATTAGGGATAGTCCAGAAGAGAATAGCAAGAAAGTGATCTTTCATATCCCTATCATGGATGCTCGCTTTGTCACAGGTCAACTGGAGAGATTGGAGGCGGAAGGTCTCCGTCTCATTCCCCTCTCATGGATTGTGGAAGGGAAGAAAGGAGAACTATCTCGGATTTGTGCTCCTCCCTTGCCTTCTGCCGAATTGCTTTGCGATGTTGATAATCGATTTTTAGCGGACCGGAAATTGAACTCAATGTTTGTTCGGTCCTTCCTGTTGAAGTCTTGGCTCCTGGACCCGCAGGACAGAGCCTTCTCACGAGGTAACAGCTCTCTGTCCTCCCCTCGCATCAAAAATCTCGGGGCAAGGTCTAGGGATGGACACGCTTAGGCTTGCTACCTGGAATGTTAGGGGTTTGGGTGACACCTCTGGCAAACACAAGAGGGAAAGGTTGAAATCATGGTTGTTTGATAATCAGATCCAAGTTGCATGCATTCAAGAGACAAAGTTGGGAGAGGATAAGATTTCTGCTCTGGGCAATTGGTGGGACGGGCCACAATTGTGGGCCCCGACAGTGGGAACGTGAGGGGGAGTAGCTGTCTTGATTCATCGAAACACTGACTTAGAAATCATAGACTTCTACGCTGATTTATGGGGCCGATGGGCATGGGTAAAGTTCTTGTTCGATGGAAAAACTTGGATCATCGTGACGGTATACGCTCCTGTGGAATCCCGTTTTCGAGTACGCTTCTTTATGGAGCTTATGCTTGTAATTCCGGATGGTGATTTTATCGTTGTTACTGGAGATTGGAATGTGTCGCTGGATTCGACACGTCTTAACAGATTATCTGAGGACAAGTCCGCTCTCTCCATCTTGATGGATGAGCTGGTACTTATTGACCCGTTCAGGTTAACCCACCCGGACGAGGGAGGGTTTACCTGGTTTTCACAAAGTCGTTCCCCACAAGGCACGGTTGAACGAAGACTAGATTTCTTTTTAATCTCATCTTCACTGTGGGAACATGTGGTGTATGTTTCGGAATGCTTTCATCCAATGTCCGACCATAAGTCCGTGCAACTTCACCTCTCAACCTCAGAGATAACCTCGGGTAGAGGCCTGTTCCGCTTTAACACTCAAAATCTTAAAGTGCCAGGATTGATAGACTAGATGAAGAGGTTTTGGAAGGATTGGTACGAAGCGCGCTCTTTGTACTCATCCCTGGCAATGTGGTGGAACTCGGGATCAAAAGTCTTCTCGAATCTGCTAAATGTATTTTCATGCATCCTTGCTTATGGTCGTAGCAACGACGAATCACGTCTGATTAAAAGAATAGAATACTCGGAATCTCATATGCAGGAACACCCAGTTTCAAACTTGGTGTGGGGAAAAGAGAGGGCAAAATTAATGTCAGAGTGGGATAATATGCAGTGTCAACAGTCTGAAGTCTGGGCTGACCGACTACGTGTTAAGGGGATCTCAGTGCATGACCGTATGGTCGTAGCAACGACGAATCACGTCTGATTAAAAGAATAGAATACTCGGAATCTCGTATGCAGGAACACCCAGTTTCAAACTTGGTGTGGGGAAAAGAGAGGGCCAAATTAATGTCAGAGTGGGATAATATGCAGTGTCAACAGTCTGAAGTCTGGGCTGACCAACTACGTGTTAAGGGGATCTCAGTGCATGACCGTATGTCAAAGGAATCGTTTCAGAAACTCCTCCCTCGCCGGGCCTCGGCCCGAATGAAGGAGTTAAATCACCCCTTTGACAGTTCGGCCCCTCGAGCCAAGCACCTTGCACTTCTCTGTGATTATGCCTCCTGTTACTATCGCGATATATTGACCTTTCGCCTGCAAGGTGCTCAGGTTAATTCTGATTTGCATCGTACTTCTCCTCATTGGGACAACACCCAAGTGCGGCTGTCCACATCTGGTCGTTTGGACCTGGATCGTCCGATAACCTTGCTGGAAGCCCACGAAGCTTTGAAGGCTATGTCTAAAGGAAAGGCCCCCGGTGACGATGGCCTCCCGGTGGAGCTCTTTTTGGTGTTGTGGGATGTGGTAGGAGAAAATTTGGTGCAAATCTACAATGATGTCCTTACAGGCGGTAGACTGACAGCAAACATGTGCAATGGTATCATCTCTGTGTTATTTACAAAAGAGGAGCGGACCGAGATCCGAAATTGACGTCCCATTTCAGTGTTGAATGTTTCATATAAAATTCTGGCTAAAATTTTAGCAAGGCGCCTGGGTCGTTATTTACCGGATCTGGTTCATCCAGATCAGGCTTCCTTCATCCAGGGTAGATCTATCTTTGACAATATTGTCACTGCTATTGAAAGCCTAGAGGTTATGCAAAAGGACCAATTAGACATTGCAGTGCTCTTATTGGATATGGAAAAGGCGTACGACAGGGTCAATTGGTCGTACGTCATAACCACGTTGAATGTCATGTCCTTTGGTCAGAATTTCTGTAAATGGGTCATAGCTCTGTATACTAACTCTACGGCGGCTGTGATGATTAATGGTTGCCGCTCGGAGGAATTCTCGCTCTCTCGTTCCCTTCGGCAAGGATGTCCTTTAGCCTCCCTCCTCTTCGCCATTCAGATGGAAAACTTGCTGAATAACATTCGGGCCCACCCCTCCATTGGTGGCTTGCCAACTGGCTCTGCTCAGTTGAAGGTGAAAGCCCTCGCTGATGATTTATTCGCTGTCTCCCGCAATTCTCCTCAATCTCTGAGTGCTTTGAAGCTCTGTTTGGATGATTATTCTTCTCTCTCTGAGCCTGCTTTGCCTTGACTGTCCAGTGGGGCATGAAACGAATCCCTGAGAAGAACTCTGAACGATTTCTGGGAGTTCAGATATCCCTGACCTCGGCAGCTGCGGACCAAGATGATATTTTATTGCAGAAGGCGAACCAGAGGATCGCCTCGTGGGGCCATGCACCACACCTCTCTTTGTATGGCAGGGCGATGGTGACCAACGGTGCCTTGTTTGTGCTGCTGTGGTTCGTGGGGAAGGTAAGAGTTTTGGGGCCTTCTCTCTTTGCCTCCATCAGACAGAGATGCACACGCTTCCTATGGAAGCCCTATGCCGAGGATGGGGAATCATTCATCTCTAAAGTGGCATGGGATCTTATCTGTACTTCTAGATCTGAAGGAGGCTTGGGGCTGCAAGACCCGGTGAGACAAAACTTTGCAATGTTATCTGAATGGGCGATTAAAGCCTGTTTGTCTCAGACGACTCACCACTGGATTAGCCTTGCTGAACAAATTCTCTTGCAGGAGTGGAATTTAAAGAGACCAGAAGATGTTTGGACGTGCCTCTTTCTAAGATCCTTTTTGAATAGGAGGATTAAATCTCCCTTTTGGCAGGCGATTATCAGAGCATGGAAGAAGATCTGTCCAACTGATTGGAAAACTCCAGTTACGAAGGCTGAAGTTCTTGCGCAACCATTGTTTGATAATCCCTTGATCAGGCAACAAGATGGCCTCCCTATCCCCGCTGACTCGGCTCCAGGAAGCTTCGGGCGTTCGTGGATTGAAAAAGGAATATTGAAGATTGAGGATCTTTGGAGTGAGCTGAGGGGGGACTGGAAACAGGATGTAGAGATTAGAACCTCTCTGGGACAGGTCAGATCGTTAAGACAGAAGAAGGACTCTATTCTCCCCGCTATTCCGTTGGAATGGAAAGCTCTGCTATTCTCTGAGCCTCTTGATCCTCCGGGCACCTGGTATTCCTCTGATTCCTCTCCCCAAGTAGTGTGGTATCTAATTGAACATCAGCCAGATGGCAAGCGCAGATTCCAGGCATACTCAGTACTACCGTCCCAAACCTTGATTAGAGATGAGGATAATCCTCCTCCACAGTTGGGCCTCCCCCTGTCACAAGTCCGTGTACTTATAACAGCAGTGGGAGAGTCCGAACCTGAATATAGACTTATTGGACTTGGCCGCTCTATCCTACATCTGAAAACTGATCCATACCTTTGGGAATGGACGATTCAGGGGAGGAGGGGTACTTCCCCCAATCTTACAGAGTACTCTCTCAAG